TATCTTGATACATCTGCACATTGCTTCCTCTATCCACTTCTATCATATGCCTTCTTCTAAATCCATAAATGCAATAAAAAAAACTTCCCTACCTTTATCTAAATACTGTCACATATATGCTTCAATGTTTACACTTGATCTACACATCCCCGTACCCACTTTTCTGAAACCTCCTGTTCGTCGCAATTCTAAATTCTGTCTACCTCTAATTCTTTCATAATTATAACCCTCAGTTATACTTTTCTGGTATACTCAGTAAACTTATTCCTCTATACTTTTTACAATCTCTTTTGTCCCCTTTTCCTTTATTTAAAGGACTATACATGCTCTCGCCAATCCCTAGGTACTTACCCTCTTTCATACATTTATTAAACAAGTTACCAACACTCCAACCTATATCCCCCATGCTTTTAACATTTCTGTCTGTTCCATCAGTTCCAGCTGCTTTACCCCCTTTCATTTACAGTTAATGCCTCCAGTACCTCCACCACACTTACAGTCTGTCTTCTTTCACTCCTTAAAAGATTGGTATACCTCCCTGGCCAGTGCATGAAATTACCGCCTCCCTTTCTTCTTAACATTTAAAAGTTCCTCAACAATATTCTCGCCATCTACCTAATACCTCCCATCTCCCCCTTCTACTAACTCCCCTTACTCTGTGTTTAACTGACATATCCATTCTTTCCATAGGCTTTCTTAACTGTTTAAACTCCTCCAAAATTTTTTCTATAACTTTTCATTAAAATTTCTAGGGCAGTGCCTCTCCCTCTTTCATCTGCTCTCCTTTGCACTCTCCACCACTCTCTTCAACTTTCTTTTACTCTCCATATACTTGCTCTTCTTATAACACTTTGCTTTGTAAAATCCTCTCGTAAGTACCCCCCCCCCTTTTTTTTTTATCACACCCTTTACTTCATCATGCCACCAATCACTCCTCTTCTCTGCCCACCACCCACCTATAACCACAAACTTCTGCCCCACATTATAATACTGCTTTTAAAACTATTCCAAACCCTTTCACCCCCTTATCATCTTTGGCACTGCCCACCTTTCTGCCAATTAGTAGATTATATCTCGCCCGAACTTCCTCCTCCTTAGTTTATACACTTTCACCTCCCTCTTACTTGTTGTTGCCACCTTCCTCTTTTCCATCTACCTCTTACTATAACTGTAGCTACAATAAATAATGATCCGATATATCAGTTGCCCCCTCTATAAAACATGTACATCCTGGAGCCTACCATCAACCTTTTATCCACCAATACTTAATCTAACAACTATTTCATTACGTGTGTTTCATCATACCATTGTATAATTTATTTATCCTCTTTTTCATAAAAATATGTATTACTTATTACCAAATTTCTTTTCTAAACATAGCGCAATTAAAGGCTCCCCATTTACATTTACCCCTGGGCACCCCAAAATTCCTACTACTCCCTCCATAACATTTTTACCACTTTAGCATTGAATCCCCAACCACCATTACTCTCACATGAGGAAATTAAATTTCATCAGAGTACAAAACAAATTCTTGGCCACAAAATAGAGGCGAATCACCACGCTCAAAGGACCTGGCCGTGCCCCCGGGGAGTGATCATGTCGGAGGATCTCACTTCAGGACCATAACATTGTATCATTTCACTTTCTGACTAGAAAAATGACAGGATGGATAATGAGGAACCTTCAAAAGAGGGGATGCCAAAGCCCATGATGACCACTTCAGGTCTCTTGTTCTATCTAGGCTGGAATAATTGATACACACTACAGCACCTTTCAAGGCAGGTGAAATTGCTGACTAGAAAATGTACAGGAACCTTCACGTGCGCGCATAAAGGAGATAAAAACACCTCAATTTAATGGTGAGAGTGAGGTGCCATGAACTGTATTCCCTGGAACGCAGGAGGGAGAGATACATGATTTTTACACCTGGAAAATCCTAGAGGGGAATAGTACCGACTTGCCACACGAAAATCACTCACTACGAAAGCAAAAGACTTGGCAGACGATGCAACATCCCCAAATGGAAAAGCAGGGTGTCACTAGACGTTATGAGACCCTACTATATGTGTAAGGGGCACGAGACTGTTCAACTGCCTCCCAGCATACATAAGGGGGATTACCAACAGACCCCTGGCAGTCTTCAAGCTGGCACTGGACAAGCACCTAAAGTCAGTTCCTGATCAGCCGGGCTGTGGCTCATATGTTGGTTTGCGTGCAGCCAGCAGTAACAGCCTGGTTGATCAGGCTCTGATCCACCAGGAGGCCTGGTCACAGACCGGGCCGCGGGGGCGTTGACCCCCAGAACTCTCTCCAGGTAAACTCCAGGTATATAATTTTTATGTTCTGATAATTACAATTTATAGTAGTTCTTGTCATTTCATAACCAATCTTTGTTCTGACACTAGTATTAGGTACTGAAATTAAATTCAAGTTGTCACGATCACACTGACAAATGGACATTTACACCTGCCTTGGCCATTTACTATTGCCCTTGGAATATATACAATATTTATAGCCCCCAGCAAGTTTTTTGGATTTTGGGGGAAGTATAGAAAAAGAAGAAGAAGAAAAAGGGAACGAAGCCCAAAAACGACGAAGCCCGACGAAGACACAAAAGACGACGAAGACGACTTAAAAAATAAGTTCCCTTTCACATGAAAAACAAGCCCATCCCCCCCTTTTTTGACAGTGACATGTTTGAGAAAAACTTTAGAAAACAGTTTATTTTTGATGGGGAAACCCGCAAGGGTGCGGTGATAAAACTTGATAAGATTAGAGGTGCCCATTTGAGGGACATCGGCCATCGCTTTGTTTTGGGGTTTCGGGTACACAAAAAAATTCTATTTGCCCTGTCTGAAAGCCCCCCTGTCTAACTTTTAAACTGTCAAACTCTCTGTCCGAGAGACCCCAAAAAGACTGAAATCATGTTTACTCATATCTTTTAAAAGCAGAGTATAGAATTTCTGCAGGTTTTTTTGGGGTTTATTCTTGGTAATTTACACTATGTAACTTTTTATTTATGTGTCCCCTGTGAACAGAGAAGACAGAGACAGAAAGAAAAGACAGAGATAGAGACAGATAGACATAGCCCGAAATAGAGCCCAACAGGCAAAACATAGCCCACAGACAAACAAACGGGGGCCCGGGGGCCGCCAGCAGCCCCCAGCCAGCCACCACCCACCCCAGCCAGCCACCCAAAGCCAGCCAGCCAGCCACCCCACCACCCAGCCACCACCCCAGCCAGCCAGCCAATCACCCCAGTCAGACACCCCCCCCACCTGCTGAACGAGTTTTTAAACATTCCAGAATTTTTTCCCTTTTTACTTAGGGCAAAAGGTTTAAAATAAAGACATCTGAAAGGGTTTTTCCCATAAATTTTTGCACAGGGCTTATTATCGAGTTTTTTTTTATATTTCGTCGCTACTTAAGGGCCACATCCCCTCAAAACCACTAAACTTGGGGTAAACCCATCACTTTCCTCAAAAAATGGGAAGTTAATACTACATAAATCAATAAACCCCAAAGGTTTTGCCACGCTGTTTGCTCTAGCTGGCGTTCATTTGAAAATGGGGCTCCCACAAGGTACTAGGTGGGCCCCCAAATTTTTTTTTTAAGTGCAAAACTGAGGTTTTTTTTTATGACCCCTTCTGTGCTGGGCAAGCCCCTCCCCAGGCCAATCATGGGCCCTATTTGAAGGGAGGGAAAAAAAAAACGTTTATATAAAGTTTGGGGGCACTAGCGGGAAGAACCTAAAATACAGTGGAAACCCCCGGCAATAAAGAAATTAAAACTGTTCCCGAGAGGTTTATTGTAAAGCCAAAATTATTTTAAGGGGAATTAATTTTTTCCCCCTAAGAAATAAAAAAAATCAAAAAATCCGTGGGAAAACACCCAAAAGTATGAAAAAAAAAGTTTTTCCCCATAAAATATTTAATTTAAAAAGCACAAAAAAAAAAAGGAAAAAGAATCACAGTTTTGTAAATACTCTACTAACAATTTAAAAACATGGGACTTACCTTTTAAAAAAGATATTGGGGTTATTGAGGGGTGGGAGGAGGGGGAGTGCCGAACTTATTTTTTAGAAAAAGGAATCCCCTTCCCTTAGGACTTGAAGTACAAGTCCTTTTCCGGGGGTTTCTTCCCCCTTTTTTTTTTAAAGCCACTAGGACCAGCTTGAGATCACTGGCCCCCCTGTCCACAAACACAAACTGTCCATAGAAAATCTGTACCTCTTTTTTTTCCTTATGATCTGCCCAAAGTGGTTTTAAAAACATTGCCATTGTAATATTTGCCAGCATGGGGTTTTCAATAGCTTTTGTGAGGGGGATTTTTTTCCATAAAAGGGTTTTCCTTCAAGGCACCCTTTTCACATATTTCCTTAATCTCTTTTTTTTTTAATTCCATACTAATTCTCAAACCCCTTTTTTCCCCCAGGGATTGGGACTAGAAATGCTTTTTTGGGGTCCATGGAACCCTTTTTTTGGGAGTTAAAAAGCACTAAAAACACGGGGGTAATGGAAATGTACCCCAATGTATGCGTAATGCGACCGGACTTTGCTAAAAGTACGGGAAAGCCCTACGAGACACAGAGACTACCATTTAAAAGTCAAAAATTTAATGTACAAACTTAGTTTTATTGCAAATGACCCTTTGTCTGGCCCCAAAATTCTGCCCCTTTTATCAAGGTTTTATTTTAAAAGTAAATATTTAAATTTTTTCACTAAAACTATAAATATCTACCAAAACAACAATAAAAATTATGGGCCCTACACCATGGGACAATTTTTAAACCCATATACCATGGGCTTATGAAAACCCTTTAACACAATGATCAATCTAGACATTCATTACATTTACTTTATACTATTTCATTTAAAGTGGAATTAAACTTCCATATGAAAATGCTATATGTACCAAAGTTTTTATTTTCACTAATCAAATTAATTTTACCAACATCAAAAAACAATTAACATATGTAAAAACCTTTTAAACTTCACCTGTAATATCAAATTTTTTAGTTCATCATCAGAGAGGAATGCTGGTTTATAATGACCCTCAGTGTAAGAATTAAGGGATCCACGCAGCATTTTCATGTGTTGAACTGCCATTCGGAGAACTGTAAGCTTGTCGAGCTTTCGCGAGGTACACACAGGAATAATGCTACTCAGTTCCATGATATACGTGTTCATCTTGTCACGTCTCCGTTTTTCAATTTCACTGTGATTTTGTCTGGAAAGAAACATTTTAATTACAAATTTTTCTATATCGAAGATCTGAATTCTATATAGCACATCACTGTACTGCATAATTTTTTTTAGCACACTGACCATCTCCCACCAAAGCAGGGTGACCTAAACAAAAAGAAACGAATGTTTTTTCTTCTTTTTATATTTAGAAATTTATACAGAAGGGATTACTAGTCCCTTGCTCCCAGCACTGCAGATGCCTTTTATGACATGCATGGCTTACTGAGGAAGGATTCTTCTCCATTTTCCCATGGAAGTGGAGAAGAATTATATACCATACAGATAATTTGTTATCAATTACCATAAGGCAATAAAGAAATTAAGCCAAAAATCCAACTTGCCTTTTATTCCAATCTCCTGCTGTTCTCGGAATTTTAATGTTATCCCCATCATCATCATTACTATCACTGAGGAAAGAAGAGGTATTCACTGTATTAATCCATTTAATTTATTTTAAATATTTATTGTTTATAGCATTACACAACTAATAAAATTTTCTTCATTATTTATTGGTATATTTAATTATAGGCTTCAAATTCATAAAATTTATAAACTTTCAGATGACATCTGAAAATACAAATCACTTAAAAAATAATGAAAATCATAGATCATAAATTGCATTTTGTTCAGCTAATACAAGGAAACTGGAATCTCAAAAATTATTTACTGTATAAAACAATCTACAGGTAACCTGTATGATTAAAACTAAATAACCCACACAGGCTTTGGGCTTCATACAATAAAAATTAGTTTCATGGTTTTATTATGCACCCCATACCCATTCTGTGGACAGAAGTCGAAAGAATACAGAAGTACAGTGGACCCCCGCTTTACGATCAGCTCCCAATGCGACCAATTATGTAAGTGCGTTTGTACGTGTATGTTTGGGGGTCTGAAATGGACTAATCTAATTCACAATATTCCTTATGGGAACAAATTCATTCAGTAATGGCACCTGAACATACTTCTGGAATGAAATAATATTTTAAACCGGGAGTCCACTGTACTGCACTGTACTTCAAATCAATCCATTTGTTTACACACTGGGTTCAATAATGAATTTAGTTGTGTATTATACTAGTCTTAAACTTCATAAAACTCAGAATCAATGTCATTTTATTATACTCACATAAACGATCCTCTCCTCTTTTTAGAACCACCATCAGAAGAAAAGGAGGCCACAGAATTGCACTCAGACCGATACTTTGGGAAATCAAAGTTGCTGATCCCAAACATCTTGTTTTATTACCACCTTTGGAACACTGTAAATAAAAATATGTTTAGATTCATATAAAGTTACACATTTTTTGGCACAATACTATCTCACAAATTGGAAAAGGAAACTGAAAAACATTTTGGTTTATCCTAGACCACTAACGAGTTGAAATGAAACGTCAGCTAGTTTCCATTCCCAATCTTATGCACTAGTTGTGAATTAGCAGATACACTGTTGTGAGGAATGTTTCTTTGTATAATATGTATTCAATATATATACTGAATGCCTGTTTGTTTTGTATATATTTAATACATAATATGCAGAGTGGAATTCCTCACACTGTACAGAAATTCAAAGTATGGTACAGTAAAGCACTGTGTATAGGTCACAGGATTTACCACATACACTACCAGCTTAAAAATTTATGTAGTTTTAAGAGCTAAAGGAAACTTTCATAAGATACAGTAATGTGATTATATTAACAAATATTCATAGACAAGGTTTCCCAAAATATTTTTTTTTTTTTTTATTATCACACTGGCCGATTCCCACCAAGGCAGGGTGGCCCGAAAAAGAAAAATTTTCACCATCATTCACTCCATCACTGTCTTGCCAGAAGGGTGCTTTACACTACAGTTTTTAAACTGCAACATTAACACCCCTCCTTCAGAGTGCAGGCACTGTACTTCCCATCTCCAGGACTCAAGTCCGGCCTGCCGGTTTCCCTGAACCCCTTCATAAATGTTACTTTGCTCACACTCCAACAGCACGTCAAGTATTAAAAACCATTTGTCTCCATTCACTCCTATCAAACACGCTCACGCATACCTGCTGGAAGTCCAAGCCCCTCGCACAAAAAAACCTCCTTTACCCCCTCTCTCCAACCTTTCCTAGGCCGACCCCTACCCCGCCTTCCTTCCACTACAGACTGATACACTCTTGAAGTCATTCTGTATCGCTCCATTCTCTCTACATATCCGAACCACCTCAACAACCCCTTTCCCCAGCCCTCTGGACAACAGTTTTGGTAATCCCGCACCTCCTCCTAACTTCCCAACTAAGAATTCTCTGCATTATATTCACACCACACATTGCCCTCAGACATGACATCTCCACTGCCTCCAGCCTTCTCCTCGCTGCAACATTCATTACCCATGCTTCACACCTATATAAGAGCGTTGGTAAAACTATACTCTCATACATTCCCCTCTTTGCCTCCAAGGACAAAGTTCTTTGTCTCCACAGACTCCTAAGTGCACAACTCACTCTTTTTCCCTCATCAATTCTATGATTCACCTCATCTTTCATAGACCCATCCGCTGACACGTCCACTCCCAAATATCTGAATACATTCACCTCCTCCATACTCTCTCCCTCCAATCTGATATTCAATCTTTCATCACCTAATCTTTTTGTTATCCTCATAACCTTACTCTTTCCTGTATTCACCTTTAATTTTCTTCTTTTGCACACCCTACCAAATTCATCCACCAATCTCTGCAACTTCTCTTCAGAATCTCCCAAGAGATTCTGTGACAACTGTGACAACTCCCACTTTGTGTGTGATTCTTTATCTTTTAACTCCACGCCTCTTGTCAAGACCCTCGCATTTACTTCTCTTACAACCCCATCTATAAATACAGTGGACCCCCGCATAACGATCACCTCCGAATGCGACCAATTATGTAAGCGTATTTATGTAAGTGCGTTTGTAAGTGTATGTTTGGGGATCTGAAATGGACTAATCTACTTCACAATATTCCTTATGGGAACAAATTCGGTCAGTACTGGCACCTGAACATACTTCTGGAGTGAAAAAATATCGTTAACCGGGGGTCCACTGTATATTAAACAACCACGGTGACATCACACATCCTTGTCTAAGGCCTACTTTTACTGGGAAAAAATTTCCCTCTTTCCTACATACTCTAACTTGAGCCTCACTATCCTCGTAAAAACTCTTCACTGCTTTCAGTAACCTACCTCCTACACCATACACTTGCAACATCTGCCACATTGCCCCCCTATCCACCCTGTCATACGCCTTTTCCAAATCCATAAATGCCACAAAGACCTCTTTAACCTTATCTAAATACTGTTCACTTATATGTTTCACTGTAAACACCTGGTCCACACACCCCCTACCTTTCCTAAAGCCTCCTTGTTCATCTGCTATCCTATTCTCCGTCTTACTCTTAATTCTTTCAATAATAACTCTACCATACACTTTACCAGGTATACTCAGCAGACTTATCCCCCTATAATTTTTGCACTCTCTTTTATCCCCTTTGCCTTTATACAAAGGAACTATGCATGCTCTCTGCCAATCCCTAGGTACCTTACCCTCTTCCATACATTTATTAAATAATTGCACCAACCACTCCAAAACTATATCCCCACCTGCTTTTAACATTTCTATCTTTATCCCATCAATCCTGGCTGCCTTACCCCTTTCATTTTACCTACTGCCTCATGAACTTCCCCCCCACCACAACTGGCTCTTCCTCACTCCTACAAGATGTTATTCCTCCTTGCCCTATACACGAAATCACAGCTTCCCTATCATTATCAACATTTAACAATTCCTCAAAATATTCCCTCCATCTTCCCAATACCTCTAACTCTCCATTTAATAACTCTCCTCTCCTATTTTTAACTGACAAATCCATTTGTTCTCTAGGCTTTCTTAACTTGTTAATCTCACTCCAAAACTTTTTCTTATTTTCAACAAAATTTGTTGATAAAAATCTCACCCACTCTCTCATTTGCTCTCTTTTTACATTGCTTCACCACTCTCTTAACCTCTCTCTTTTTCTCCATATACTCTTCCCTCCTTGCATCACTTCTACTTTGTAAAAACTTCCCATATGCTAACTTTTTCTCCCTTACTACTCTCTTTACATCATCATTCCACCAATCGCTCCTCTTCCCTCCCGCACCCACTTTCCTGTAACCACAAACTTCTGCTGAACACTCTAACACTACATTTTTAAACCTACCCCATACCTCTTCGACCCCATTGCCTATGCTCTCATTAGCCCATCTATCCTCCAATAGCTGTTTATATCTTACCCTAACTGCCTCCTCTTTTAGTTTATAAACCTTCACCTCTCTCTTCCCTGAATATCTATTCATATTTTTCTTACAAACATTAAATACTGTAGAGTAGCAAATAATGTTAATCAAACACTATGGTTAATAATGCAATGCAGGAGGAGGAGGTTATGGGAAAGGTAGGGAATGTGTAAAACACTGCCTAGTATTCTTATTCTCATGCACCTTGCTAGGACTTTATCTGTCCATATACAATGAGTCATTCTCATGGAATCATTTCTTCTGTGAATATCATTAATGTCTTATATACAGGAGGGTCCAGCTTATACAGAAGGTTAGGTTCCATAGCCTTTTTTTTCACTTTCAAATGCATATAAAAGCCTGATAACATGTTTACACTATCATATATTAAGTGAGCAATAGAGCTAGACCTAAAAAATGCATATATAGTACAGTACACACATTACTTACCTTAAAATATTTCTGTACTTAGCTTATAGTGAGTGGTGAATGTATTTATTGTAGGAAGCCTAAATAAATGAGGAATGAGTATAACTGAAAACTGCTGTATTAGGGAAATGCTGTAAAGTGAAGCACTGTAAAGCAGAGCCCACCTATACTTACATGTACAGGTGGACCCTGCTTTACTATCACATCACATTCTGTAATAATACAGATAACTAGTTTCACTCTTACTGTAATTTTATCTGAAATTTATTTTGAGTTAATGGAATAATTTTAATATACAGCCTTTCCTCACTTAACGACGGAGTTATGTTCCTAATATCATGTTGGTAAACGAATTTGTCGCTAAGTGAGGAGCATACTATAATGATAGTGGGTTTGTGTCAACCATCTTTGATTTTATTTTAATGTCACCTTTACATCATTTATAACATTTTTGGTATATGTATTTTTAAATGTTTACACAGTAGTGTACTGTATATTGTAACAATCAGAATAGAGGAAATCAGCTCTAATATACATTATTTAGGTATGCGAGTGTGTGTCAAGGTAGAAAGTTGAAAGTGAACATAGAAAAGAGTAAGGTGATGAGGGTATCAAATGATTTAGATAAAGAAAAATTGGATATCAATTTGGGGAGGAGGAGTATGGAAGAAGTGAATGTTTTCAGATACTTGGGAGTTGACGTGTCAGCGGATGGATTTATGAAGGATGAGGTTAATCATAGAATTGATGAGGGAAAAAAGGTGAGTGATGCATTGAGGTATATGTGGAGACAAAAAATATTATCTATGGAGGCAAAGAAGGGAATGTATGAAAGTATAGTAGTACCAACACTCTTATATGGGTGTGAAGCTTGGGTTGTGAATGCAGCAGCGAGGAAGCGGTTGGAGGCAGTGGAGATGTCCTGTCTAAGGGCAATGTGTGGTGTAAATATTATGCAGAAAATTCGGAGTGTGGAAATTAGGAGAAGGTGAGGAGTTAGTAAGAGTATTAGTCAGAGGGCTGAAGAGGGGTTGCTGAGGTGGTTTGGTCATTTAGAGAGAATGGATCAAAGTAGAATGACAGAGAGCGTATAAATCTGTAGGGGAAGGAAGGCGGGGTAGAGGTCGTCCTCGAAAAGGTTGGAAGGAAGGGGTAAGGGAGGTTTTGTGGGCGAGGGGCTTGGACTTCCAGTAGGCGTGCATGAGCGTGTTCGTTAGGAGCGAATGGAGACAAATGGTATTTGGGACCTGACGATCTGTTGGAGTGTGAGTAGGGTAATATTTAGTGAAGGGATTCAGGGAAACCGGTTATTTTTATATAGCCAGACTCGAGTCTTGGAAATGGGAAGTACAATGGCTACACTCTAAAGGAGGGGTTTGGGATATTAGCAGTTTGGAGGGATGTATTGTGTATCTTTATACGTATATGCTTCTAAACTGTTGTGTTCTGAGAACCTCTGCAAAAACAGTGATTATGTGTGAGTGAGGTGAAAGTGTTGAATGATGATGAAAGTATTTTCTTTTTGGGGATTTTCTTTCTTTTTGGGTCACCCTGCCTCGGTGGGAGACGGCCGACTTATTTAAAAAAAAAAAAAAAAAAAAAAAGCATACTGATCAGAGAGCCTGTTGTAAGTTTGAGTCGTTGGTAAACGAGTACACCACTAAGTGAGGAAAGGCTGTAGTGTAAGTGTTCTTATTTCCATGTAACATGATTTTATCTGCTTCATGTATAACTGTTTAATGTTCATGTAATCTATTTTACTGCAAAAGTCATTATTATCTCATATACATATATGCAAGATACTGTAGTCCTTCCAGATTTAAGCTAGGTTTAACCCTTTGAGGGTTTTGGTCGTACTAGTACGTCTTACGCGTAGGGGTTTTTGACGTACTAGTACTCATAAATTCTAGCGGCCTCAAATCTAGTGGGAGAAAGCTGGTAGGCCTTCATATGAAAGAATGGGTCTATGTGGTCAGTGTGCACAGTCTAAAAAAAATCCTGCAGCACACAGTGAATAATGAGAAAAAAAAAACTTTTACCATTTTTTTTTAATAAATCAGCGACTTTGCAGTGTATTTTCGTATGGTATTTATTGTTGTATTCTAGTTTTCTTGGTCTCATTTTATAGAATGGAAGACATATTACAGAAATTGAGATGATTTTGACTGGTTTTACAATGAAAGGTGCCTTGAAATTGAGCTCAAAGTAGCAGAAATGTTCGATTTTTACCAAACTTCAAAAGTAAACAAATCGTGCCAAGCGTGCAATACACGTCAACTGGTGAGTCTAATATTCTTTCACAAGTGCACCAATAATATTTATACCATTTTTTACACTAATGCAGTAGTCTGCATAACAGTAAATCTTATATTTTTTGTGAAATAAAAATTCAAAGTGGAAAGGAAAAGAATATAAGAGGGGCCTTGAGACGTGACTAATGACTAGAGGAAATGTCATTTTAGTGCCAGGAATGTCTTTCTTGTTTATTCTGGACCCTATTCGGAAATTGGCATCTTTTGAAATTTGTGTGAAATTGGCAAAATTGCTAAATTCTGACCACTGTACTGGATAGATGAATTTATAAATGGGTGGTTTCTTGCACTCATTCGATAGAAAAAATGGAGTTCTAGCGGAATATTCATGTTTTTTGTCGACTAGTACAGTGAAATTGGCCGAAAATGGGGCTCAAAGTGGGTAAAAATCGCCGATGCGTAAACATCGCCGAGACCGCTAACTTTGCGAGAGCATAATTCCGTAAGTTTTCTATCAAATTTCAAACTTTTGGTGTCTTTATGATCGGGAAAAGATTCTCTATCTTTTCATAAGAGAAAATAATTTTTTTTTTTTTTTTAAATTTGGCCGACCCTGAGAATCGAGTTTCGGAGAGGGCCTGTCGACCCTCAAAGGGTTAAGCTTGCCTGAAATCCTCTGCATAACTAAGGGGCTTTCCATGAATTATATTGAAAACTACTAAACCCATATGAATTTAAACTAACAGTGTACCCATAATTTGTCTTAATACTGCCTTTAGTACTGCATTTATGAACACTGATTAAATTTTCACCTGGCCAATCTGGCCTGCCTTGTTTGGTTAAAAATGCTACAGTGATCAATTTGGTCTTTTTTTGTATTGCTTATCAAGTTCTTATGTTTACTATGTTTCAACACACTATAATATAAAAATAATATCTTCATTTACTACATGTACATGGTATACAGCCCTAGCTAACACCAATGATATATGTACTACTATATAGAAAGCTGCTTGTTATGCAGAGCATTTCGGGCAAATTAGGTCAGTTTTGTCCCAGGATGCAACCGACACCAGTCGACTATTTCCCAGGTACCCATTTTACTGATGGGTGAACATACACTGGTGTAAAGACACATGCCCAATGTTTCTACCCTCACTGGAAATCGAACCCAGACCCTCACTGTATGAAGCGAGAGCTTTAGCCACCAGGCCAGGGTTATTATTACCGCCTCTCCTCACTTGACGACGGAGTTCCATTCCTAATACTATGTCAGTAAATGAATTCGTTGCTAAATGAGGAGCATACTATAGTGGTAGTGGGTTTGTGTCAACCATCTTTGATATTGTTTCACTGTCATCTTTGCACCATTTATAATATTTCTAGTATATTTTTAAATGTTTATACAGTAGCATACTGTATGTTGTAATAAACAGAATAGAGGATATCAGCTCTAATATTTATTATTTAGGTATGCATACTGGTCAGAGACCCCATCGTAAGTCCGAGTCGTTGGTAAACGAGTATGTCGCAAAGCGAGGAGAGGCTGTATTATTGCATTCATGGAGGAATGCTAAATCCAAAAGGATCATACAGCACCTGGGAGAAAGGGAGTCATTCAGGTCCGATGCAAGAAGGGGGAGGTGAGATCCTGTCCCTTAGATCACTGGTATCAAGGACCCTCACTTGAGGGTCTCTCCTATGCTGAAGAAAATTTTATTAGATTATTAACCTAGTGGGTCAATAACCCAGGATAACCCAATAAAGCCAATATAATCAGACTGTGCCATATTTTCACTGGACTTATATTACTCCTCTCCCTCCATTGATAATGTCTCAGCTCACACACAGGACAGGGGTTCAATCCCTGGTACGAGTTTAAAGGACCCCAGTAGAAATAAGCCAGACAATCTAATGACAGTGGCTTTATTGGGTTAACGTGGGTTACTAATCCACCGGGTTAATAATCCTATAGTGCCTGTCACCTAGCTAGCTCTCAGACACATGGCTCAACTATTACCTACCCACACCACACTCAACAGTGCCTAATTACCTTAGATGGCAGAACCTCGTACCCATGGGTAATAGGCACCAAACTGAAGTATTTCTCTTCTAAGACTCAAACTTTCCATTATAAAAAAAATGTTTGTGGCCTGAGCAGCACACAGTACATCAGCTGCTGCTGCTCCAGCAGCTGTCTAACCCAGCGGCACTAAACTATCGTAGCTGTCACTGGAAGTTTATTTACACACAGGTACACAAAAGAATGTCAGTGACTTATCTCCATTGGGCCCTTAAAGTGTAGTTACACTGACTGTTCTTATGGTATACCTGGAGGGGGTTTCGGGGGTCAACGCCCCCGTGGCCCGGTCCGTGACCAGGCCTTGTAGTGGATCAGGGCCTGATCAACCAGGCTGATACTGCTGGCCGCACGTAAAAATCATCGTACGAGCCACAACCCGGCTGGTCAGGTACTGATTTTAGATGCTTGCCCATTATTTTTATAACGGGAAAGCTCTAAATCCGTATGATTATCCAACGCCTATAGGGGGATAATGGAAGGTATTCAGGCTTAATTCAGGGAACTGGAGCACAGACCCAATTCCTTAGATCAAGGGCCCCCTCACCAGCGTCAAGGAACCTCCCTTGAGGGAGATGCTTGTCCAGCTCCTTGAAGACAGCCAGGTGTCTATTGGTAATCCCCCTTATGTATGCCGAGAGTTGAACAGTGTTGGGGCCCTAACACTTACTATATCGTCTCTTAGCAGACTCGTGGCGCCCTGCTTTCCAATAGGGGGATGTTTCATCTCCTGCCAAGTCTTTTGCTTTCGTAGGCAGTGATTTTCATGTGCAGATTTGGGACTAGTCCCGCTAGGATTTTCCAAGTATATTATCATGTATCTTTCTCTCCTCTGTTCCAGAGAATGCAAATCAAGGAGATTCAACCATTCTCAGTAATTTAGGTGCCTTATATGTGCCATGAAAGTTATCTGTATATTCTCCAGGTCTCCACTTTCGTTTGCCTTGAAAGGGGGCGTTAGTGTACAGCTGTATTCCAGCCTAGAGATGGGTATGGGGTGCATAATAAAGATATTAAACTAGAAGTACTAGAACTAGCCGGGTTTAATAAGTCATGACACTTCCTCTCCCTAATGACGCTCCCCTCACCACCTTTAATGCACCCTATCTTTCATGCTTACACCAAAAGGGTCTTTCCTATACATAAAGCTAAGTTAAATTTTCTTTTTGGGGCTCTAAGGAAAATAGTGGATTTTTGGGGGCTAGTGGAGTTTTGTTGGGGGGAAGGCTTTGTGGGGGATCTTATCATTATTATTATTATTATTATTATTATTATTATTATGCATATAATGCTATGCATATAAGTGGCTTTGGCATGCTGCTCTTACCTGTATTTTTTGTACCTCTGTTTGTATGCTAAATTTCTAAATAAATAAAATAAATAAAAATAATTATTATTATTATTAATTATTATTATTACCATCACCATCATTATTATTTTATCTTAAACATTTTTTATTTGCAAATGCTTATTCAACACTATTATAACCTAAAATAACATAAAACAGGTTAATTTATAATTAATGTGAGTAGCCAAGGTCGGGATGGTGGGAGTTTAAATTTCGAATAATTTTCTTATTGTCGTACATCAGACAAGCGCACAGTCCATAATAAACATTTACATAACATTATATATTTTTTAAAACAAATCCGCTCCAGTAAATGTAATTTGCTGTAATCATTCTGTTACATTAAGCAAAAAAATAACTATAATATTTTAATTATGTTAGAAGCTATATCGTTGTATTATATAAATACTTTAAAAGACTTTCATATGCCGGTATGAACAACTGAAAATAAGAACCCTAAATGAAGCTTCGCATGGTGATTTGTAGCTCAATGATCAGAACATTCAGTTTACAAATGGAAGATCCGAGTTCGATCCATGGACAGGGCGAAAAGTAAGGACAGCTCTCCAACTTTCGATTGCTGACAACAAACTGTATACACACGGAGAAGTCTATGCACACATTCTAAAAAAAATCCTGTCAATCCACATCTTACCTGGAGTTTACCTGGAGAGAGTTTCGGGAGTCAATGCCCCCGCGGCCCGGTCTGTGACCAGGCCTCCTGGTGGATCAGCGCCTGATCAACCAGGCTGTTGCTGCTGGCTGCACGCAAACCAACGTACGAGCCACAGCCCGGCTGATCAGGAACTGACTTTAGGTGCTTGTCCAGTGCCAGCTTGAAGACTGCCAGGGGTCTGTTTGGTAATCCCCCTTATTGTGGCTGGGGCAGTTGAACAGTCCTCGGGCCCCTGAACACTTATTGTATGGTCTCTTAACGTGCTAGTGACACCCCTGCTTTTCATTGGGGGATGGGGCAAACGTCTGCCAAGTCTTTTGCTTCGTATGAGTGATTTTCGTGTGCAAGTTCCGGGACTAGTCCCCCCTAGGATTTTCCAGGTGTATATAATCATGTATCTCTCCCCTCCTGCGTTCCAGGAATACAGGTTTTGAAACCTCAAGCGCTCCCCAGTAATTGAGGTGTTTTATCTCCGTTATGCGCGCCGTGAAAGTTCTCTGTACATTTTCCAGGTCGGCAATTTCACCTGCCTTGAAAGGTGCTGTTAAGTGCAGCAATATTCCAGCCTAGATAGAACAAGTGACCTGAAGAGTGTCACATGGGCTTGGCCTCCCTAGTTTTGAAGGTTCTCATTAACCATCCTGTCATTTTTCTAGCAGATGCGATTGATACAATGTTATGGTCCTTGAAGGTGAGATCCTCCGACATAATCACTCCAGGTCTTTGACGTTGGTGTTTTCCCCTCTATTTTGTGGCCAGAATTTGTTTTGTACTCTGATGAAGATTTAATTTCCTCATGTTTACCATATCTGAGTAATTGAAATTTCTCATCGTTGAACTTCATATTGTTTTCTGCAGCCCACTGAAAGATTTGGTTGATGTCCGCCTGGAGCCTTGCAGTGTCTGCAATGGAAGACACTGGCATGCAGATTCGGGTGTCATCTGCAAAGGAAGACACGGTGCTGTGGCTGACATCCTTGTCTATGTCGGATATGAGGATGAGGAACAAGATGGGAGCTAGTACTGTGCCTTGTGGAACAGAGCTTTTCACCGTAGCTGCCTCGGGCTTTACTCTGTTGACGACTACTCTCTGTGTTCTGTTAGTGAGGAAATTATAGATCCATCGACCGACTTTTCCTGTTATTCCTTTAGCGCGCATTTTGTGCGCTATTACGCCATGGTCACACTTGTCGAAGGCTTTTGCAAAGTCTGTATATATTACATCTGCATTCTTTTTGTCTTCTAGTGCATTTAGGACCTTGTCGTAGTGATCCAGTAGTTGAGACAGACAGGAGCGACCTGTTCTAAACCCATGTTGCCTGGGTTGTGTAATGGGGGGTTTTTCTAGATGGGGGGTTCTTGTTTTAGGCCCCTTTTTAAAAGATTTTATGATATGGGATTTTAGTGTATTGGTCTGTAGTTCTTTTGCTGTTGCTTTACTCCCCCTTTGTGGGGGGGGGCTATGTTGTTGTTTTTGTAACGAGGGGACGACCCCCGTGTCCAGTCCCTCTCCATAGGAGGGAAAAAGGCTCGTGATAGGGGTTTTGCAGTTTTGAAAACACAGAGTTCCATGAGTCTGGCCCTGGGGGCAGGTGCATGGGATTCTTTATCGCCTGTTCGAAGTCTTTTGGGCGTCGGGATACATCGGATGGGTTTGTGTTAATAAATTTTGTGGCTCTCTCATAAAAAATTCTTTTGATCTTCGATTCAGTCGGGTTTGCGGCTTGCTAAAATGAGTCTTTTGGGATTGAGTAGCCCCTCATTTCTTGCTGTCATCGTGGGACCCATCTTGTTTAAGGGGCCCCCCAAATACGGGCGTTTTTTCTCGATTTTGATTTGGCATAGGAAAAGAAATACTTTGGGTTTCTTTCGATTTCATTTATATTTTTGTTCCCCCGCGTTCCTGACTCCCAAAGGTTCTTTTAGCTTAAGTTCATGCTTTCCCTTTCTTGACCGTGCTCCCTGGCTTTCAGATAATTACCCTTTTAGCGCTTTGTTATTCTTTTCCGTCGCCTTAAAGGGAGCGCCCGTTTTTTATTTTTCTCTACTCCTCCTTTTTCTTAGAGGAATAAGCTTTGAACATCGAGTCCACCCGGTTAACTGTTCTAGGCATAAGTTGGGGTCTGTGTTGCTAGTATATCTTCCCCCTTTTATCGTTAGGGCTTTTGGTTTCTTGGTCCCACTTTATGCTTTTGTTATTGAAGTTGAATTTGGTGAAACTCCCCCCGTGACTATCCATTTTTCGGTTGGGGCTCTCCATGCTGTCTAACCTCATTTGTTGTGATCTGAGTATATTGTTTTTGTAGGTGACATTTTTTATCGATCATTTTGTTAGTGATTTGGGGCTGTGATTCTCCATCTAGTGGCTCTATTATTTGCGGTTTAAATTGAATTTTGTGCAGAATTTAAAAACTGTGTGGGTTTAGTTTCATCGGCTGCCTCTGGTGTTATTACTGCAACTATTATTTGCTATTTTCCCCCATTTTGGTGCCTTAATTTGAAATCCCCAGGGCAAGATGTTGGGGGCAGGAGCTGGAAGTTTTCCCAGACAGTGGTCAATTTTTAACAGCTGTTCCTGGAATTGCTGGGAGTTGCACCCGGGAGGCTTGTAGTACCCAATACTATTTGGTTCTCGACCTTATGCAAAAACCCATACGTCATTTGAGGCATTAACCCAGTTCTGTGCAAACAAGTGCTCTGCTTTTGTCAGGAAACCCCCCCCCCTTTTCCCTGTTCACTCTGTCACATCTGTATAGGTTGTAACCTGGGATCCTATTTCATTGTCCAATGATCCTTTATGGGGGGCTCATGAAAGCCGCGAAAATGCCTTTGCCTCTGAAGCAGCCCCGGGATAAAGGTTTTTTTGTTGTTTTTTGCTGGTTTTAGCCCCGATTTTTGCAAAGAAGAATGTTATTTTATAGGTAACATCTTTTTTTTTTTTTTTTTCCCTTTTGAAAAGATGCTGATATGTTTTATTTTTATTTATCATTATTTTTAGGGGGAAGAGTAACCCCATGAAAGGAATATCTGAAAGTTAAGAACGTGCAAATCGGATATCTTTATTGTAGAGTTTGCCATCCGTGGGTTTAAACAATAAGATTTTGGACTAATTAAAGACGAATATATGCAAAAGATAAACATAACTCCAAAGGGTGAGGACTGATTACGCATCTTTTGTATATAGTTCTACTGTCTTTTAATTATGTCTTGATTTTATTGATAAAGCCATGGATGGCGAAACGTCTACAAAAAGATATCCAGATGTTGCACATGTGTCTTAACTTTCATATTGTCGGTATTTTATAACTTTCTTGCACAAGGAATATCTGGAAAAACAGGTGGGATATGCAGTTTTGACCATCCAAAAAAGTGCCACGACCTCATGACCAAACGAGCATGCAATCCTTTTTTTGTGTGTGTGTAAACTATTTCACCCTGAAATGTGTTATTCAACAATCTATGAAAGACAATGTTACAACACATACTGTCAGGCACACCACTTAAAGGGGACCAGAATGTATGATCCCACAAACATTGGGAAACAAACGATGGTAGTTACAACCACTCCAGAGAAAGATTTTTTAGTGCTAGGAAGAAATGAAACTGGCGGGAAATGACAGAAATACTACACCACCTCGGATCATTACTGGAGTGGAGGTAATCAGTGGCCTCCACTCCAGAACAAGATACTAGTGGCAGCTATGATGAATGGTTTTGATCAACAAATAATAGCTTCCTAACATACAATGGTTAGTAGACAACAAACTATCATTACACCTAGGGAAAACTGAAGCCATTCTCTTTGGCACGAAACATAAACTGAGAAGGGTAAATAATTTTAATGTTCAATGTAATGGGGAGCCCTTCACTTTGGTTCCATCAGTAAAATATTTGGGAATCCCCTTTGACCCATGCATGTCAGGAGAATTGATAGGGAACAGTGTAGTAAAGAAAGCGAATGCCAGACTGAAGTTCCTGTATAGACAAGCACAGTGTCTACCTACTGAGGCTCGCAGGACCCTATGTCTAGCCCTTATACAATGCCATATGGATTACGCTTGCTCTTCTTGGTACTCTGCCTTGACAAAAAAACTGAAAGATAGACTGCAAATCACCCAGAACAAAATCGTAAGATTCATCCTGGGGCTGGGACCAAGAGAACATGTAGGCCAGGATAAATTACAGCAGTTGGATATGCTGAATGTTGAAGACAGAGTAAAACAACTGAAGCTAGATAAGATAAGATAAGATTTCGTTCGGATTTTTAACCCCGGAGGGTTAGCCACCCAGGATAACCCAAGAAAGTTAGTGCGTCATCGAGGACTGTCTAACTTATTTCCATTGGGGTCCTTAATCTTGTCCCCCAGGATGCGACCCACACCAGTCGACTAACACCCAGGTACCTATTTGCTGCTAGGTGAACAGGACAACAGGTGTAAGGAAACGTGTCGAAATGTTTCCACCCGCCGGGAATCGAACCCGGGCCCTCCGTGTGTGAGGCGGGAGCTTAGCCACCAGGCCACCGGGCCACAAATCATGTTTATAAAATTGCTCACAAACAATGTCCAGAATATCCTGCTGTCAATTTTGTCAAGGTTGGGAACCAGAGCAATCATAGTACTAGGGGGAGAGAGCACAACTTTGTAGTACCCACAGTCATTGGCCAGGCTTCAAACACCTTTTATTGTACGGCAATAAAGGAATGGAACAGACTACCCGCACATGTCAAAGCCAGTCATAGCATGAACCAGTTCAAGAAGAGTGCCAAAAGGTGTCTGATGAATGTAGCTACAGAAAGGGAGGGGAATGATTTTCTATTTTTTAGCTAACATACGTGTAAATTTTACCTTATTCCTAGTAATGACCCTCGTATGGTAGATAGTCTTAATAACCCTCGTGTAGTAGATAGTCTTTTTAGTATGATAATAAGATGTTATCTTCATTGTAGAATAATAAGAAAATATTATAACCTTTATATTATAATAAGGTAAAAGGACCCCAATGGAAATAAGTCACTGTCTGACTTTTTTGGGTTATCCTAGGTTCTCTACACATATGCTGCTATGTATGATAATTCTATGTAACTGTATTTGTGTATACCTGAATAAACTTACTTACTTACTTAATCAATATGACAACATTTGTATTTGCAAACACACAGGGTCTAAAGTCATCAACAAACAATAAAACACCTTTCATCAGTGGACTCCTCACAGAGTCAAACGCAAAGTTTGTTGCTGACACAAAGGCCCTCACAAACGATCACTTTGAAAACGAAATGTGAATCCCAGGGAAAGAACATGCAATAAGAGGGGAGAATGTTTAGCCAGTATGTCACAGAGTCGCTCATTTGTTAAGAATTACTAACCACAAATGATGTAGTTTAAGTTTTGACAGTAAAGACTGAAAAGTTCAAAACCTTGTCATTGTGGATGTATACAAGCCACCGGATACAACTTCCTAACAATACAGGAATAACTTTTGAAAATTGACTGCTGTCTGGAAAATCTTCGAAGCCCTGCCCCAAATATCTTGTTGCTAGGCGATTTCAACTTAAGACATCTAAAATGGAGAAATGTGGCAAATAATGTTTTAGTAGAGATAATCCCAGGAGGCAGCTCAGATGAAAATTCACACATACACGAGCCATTAAATTTCTGCTACAGATTCACCTGAAGCCAGCAGATAGTGGACACAATAAGGCTGAAAATACACATGACCTCATTTTCACTAATAATAATGATCTGATACGAAATATAACAGAATTTAAGTCAATACATTCGGATCACAACATAATCGAAGTGCAGACATGTAAATGCAGGGCTCCTGACCAGCAAAATGGTTTGAAATCAGTTATGAGGGCTCCTTCACGAAATTCAGCTGTAATAACAGAAACATCTAGTGGGATCAAATTAACCATGTCCTAAATGAAACATGCTGAGATATCCCTGACAACACGGATCCGAACCTTTGCCTAGAAAGACTTAATTCTGTATTACTTGGGGTATACTCAAGTACATTCCCCTAAGAAAAAAGATGTGAACTAGACACTCTCTCTACAAGGGAAGGTGAATAATCACGGAGCTGCTCAAAGGGGGCAGTCTATCTGAAATACGGTAGGAGGCACTGGCCAGAGAAATAGATTATTATTATTATAATAAAAAAGAAGCGCTAAGCCACAAGGGCTATACCGGAGAAATAGAAAATATCGAACTTCAGCTTAAGGAATCATACAGGGTTCATGGACCTCCTGTGAAGTAAGTCTAGGTCGAGGTTCATGAGTTCCATGACGACTTACGAACCAAGTCTGGGTCAGGGTTCATAGCTTCGTTCCAACAATATTTCAAAATACACATTTCATTGACTTAATATATTTATGTAACTTTTATCGGTAATATTTTCCCAAATGATTGAATAACAACAATACATCTAGTTTACCAGTAGGTGGTTAAGGGGGTAATGTTGTGTTATTATTGAGAGAATAGTGTCAAGTCGAGGGTTGACATAGTTGTTGACAAACAGGAGCCAGCCAGTCACTCCACACTGTTGTCTTCACTACTAGCACAATGCCGGCGGAAAATTTGGAAGAACAGGGCCTCGAAAAGAACCCATATCTCCCTCTGGCGCAGCTCAAGTTCAGACTGACGTTGAATGATTTTAAGAATGATTCCAAGATGAAGGAGGAGCTAATGCAGGCCATCGTGAAGGACAGTGAGTGATGAATGCTTTCCAACTGAGAGAGAGAGAGAGAGCTTTCTCGCTTCGATAGTACTTTGCATTTATGGTCTAAGTGTCAGGATTTTGTAAGCATTATAATAAGTTATTTCATTCAGCTTTGGAAGCTGCTGAGTTTCAGCTGAATTTGGTTGGGTTACCTAGGATAAATCTACATAGTATTTTTATGTGCCCATAACACTTGTGTCCTCAGAACCATTGTAGAAAAATATTTGTATGCAAGGTACACAAGCCTAAATAAAAGCTTACATTATGGGAAAAACACTGCTTATGGTACTGTGCAGTCTTAGCCACCCAGGATGACCCAAGAAAGTCAGAGTATTATCAAGGACTTTGCCTTATTTCCATCGGGGGTCCTTAATCTTGTCCCCCAGGATGCGACTCGCACCAGTCAGCTAACACTCAGGTAACCTACTTACTGCTAAGTGAACAAAGACAGCAGCTGTAAGGAAACATACTCAGTGTTTCCACCCGTAACGGATTGAGCCATAGACACTCGGTGTATTAGATGAATATTTCCAGCTGAGGCATAATTGAACACAGTTAATATTTATTGTAGGGCTGGTCAAAACTAATCTTTATTTTAATTTTTTAAAATACAAGCAATCTATCTTTGCCCTAGAGTTATACATTTCTTGTGCAAATAATTTATTTGTGAGATATTTGCCGCAAAATTACTTTGGTCAGTATTTATTCTATTCCCGGGTCAGAAGCCTGTCAATGTTACACACTGTTCGCAGAACATCAGGCAACAGTTGATCTGGTTGGGTTGTTACATTTCTGCAAGTAAAAACTGAATTGCACATCAGTTTCAGATAATTTTGCTCAAATGATGTGGACATAGGACCTGGCAATAAAGTAAATATTTACCAATGTACTTATAGGAGAGGAGTAATACAATTTTAGGTAGTAGGTTGGTAGACAGCAACTGCCTAACGAGGTACTACCATCCTGCCGAGTGAGTGTAAAACGGAAACCTGTACGTAATTGTTTTACATGATGGGATTGCTGGCGTCTTTTTCTGTCTCGCAAACTTGGAAGATTTTAGGTACATCTTGCTACTTCTACTTACACATAGATCACACTACACATGCATGTACAGACATGCATATATATACACACCCATCTAGGTTTTTCTTCTATTTTCCATGGCAAAATAGAAAAGAATTCTTCCTCCATAAGTCATGTGTGTCATAAGAGGTGACTAAAATGCTGCGAGCAAGGGGATAGTAACCCCTTCTCATGTATAAATTTCTAAATTTAAGAAGAAAAACTTTCGTTTTTTTTTTTTGGGGGGGGTCACCTGCCTCGGTGGGATACAGTCGGCTTGTTGAAAAAAAAATAATGCATTTAAAATGTACCTCTGAAGGAATATGCTTGACTAGTCAACAATTGGTATAGTCATGTGACATGTTGGGCCAATCAGATGTTAGTATTCAGTTGCATGGCTCTCTGTCCAAGTCATACATAAAGCTTAAAATTATCTAGGCCAGGGTAAGGTCTACTTATTGTAATTCACGTGGCTTCAACTTTTATAACACAATTTGGAAGACGAACATGCCTTTGACATTTTAATTAAAAATGTGAGTACCTGCGTCACTGTTGATTAATATCTATTAAGACAAGTTTGTTTAAGTTGGGGTTGATAAATAATTTGAGGAATCTATAAAAAAATTCTTTATGTCGTCTTGACAAGCATGTTGAGCTTATTCATTACATGTAAATACTCAATGAAAATATACAATATAATGTACTGGTCAGGTATTCATGTAATACAGTACTGTAGTATAGTCATTAGTTATGAAGATGCATAAAAATATTTATAGATCAGACTATTAATATACTAACATTTCCCTTAGATATGGCACCATTCTATGAGGAGTGTTGCCGTGATTTAGGCTGGCAACTGGACAGTGCCTTGCTTGAAAGGATGAAGAAAGAAAATGAGAAAGAATTGCACACAATGAATGAAACAATTGAGGAAGCAGAGAAGTCCATGGGGGAGACAGAGATTCGAGAGGCAAACCTAAAGAAGGCTGAATATCTTTCACGCATTGGAGATAAAGTAAGTTGAAAAGCATAACTTGAATCTGAAATTACTGCAGGTATGAGCTTGCATCTTCTTGAGTGGGGAAGACATGCTGTCAGTTACATCACAGGCAGATAATGAAACTATAGACCTCTGTATAATAAGGTTCAAAAATGTGTAACAAAATTAGCTGGATCAGTCATTTTGGAAATAATTTAGTCTATTGTTTACAGAATTGTATGTTGTTGTTACTTTCATGGCAAAACAATCACTTCATATCCACCACATTTGCCATTTCTGGCCATCCACTCCTCCCTATTATTGTTATATTGTGGGTTTAGTACTTATTGTGGTAAGCCCCAGGCCACATTTCCTTAGCATCCCATGCCAATTCTGGTACTAGGTACATTAATGTGGTGCTTAATTCCTTTTATTCCTGAGGTGGGAATATAGGAGAGTATGGCCCATGTTACCAGGTACTTGAGTAGACAAGAGCACACTATATAATAAATGTAGTCTGGGACTATAAATTATCCAGTTGTTTAATTTGAAATGTAAGTTTCAGTTCTTTTGATGGAGTGTGTACCTCTCATATATGCTGACACAAGTCAGTCCCAAAGTATTTCTTCATTTGTAGAATATAAGATTCATGACATTGTGAAATTCTAGTTTCCTAACAGGAATATTGTGCATATATTGGGTTATATAGGGGCATCTCCAACTGATTAACAAGTTGTGTAATTATTTTCTTAATAGCACATCTTCTGAGCCTTGTTCATAAGTGTAGATCATCATAGGTGCTTATGAGACCTTAATGTACTACTCAGAATTTCCATAGCTTCATATGTGCTTATGCCTAGTGTTATTGCTTCATGAAGTAAAATAAAGAGTTATAAATTCTTGTATTAAAATTGGAGGTGCGGGATTACCAAAACTGTTGTCCAGAGGGCTGAGGAAGGGTTGTTGAGGTGGTTCGGACATGTAGAGAGAATGGAGCAAAACAGAGTGACTTCAAGAGTGTATCAGTCTGTAGTGGAAGGAGGACGGGGTAGGGGTCAGCCTAGGAAAGATTGGAGGGAGGAGGTAAAGGAGGTTTTGTGTGCGACGGGCTTGGACTTCCAGCAGGCATGCGTGAGCGTGTTTGATAGGAGTGAATGGAGACAAATGATTTTTAATACTTGACGTGCTGTTGGAGTGTGAGCAAAGTAACATGTATGAAGGGATTCAGGGAAACCGGCAGGCCGGAACTTGAGTCCTGGAGATGGGAAGTACAGTGCCTGCACTCTGAAGGAGGGGTGTTAATGTTGAAGTTTAAAAACTGTAGTGTAAAGCACCCTTCTGGCAAGACAGTGATGGAGTGAATGATGGTGAAAGTTTTTCCTTTTCGGGCCACCCTGCCTTGGTGGGAATCGGCCAGTGTGTTAATTAATAAATAATAAATAAATTAAAATTTATTTTTATTTCAGGAGGAAGCAGTAAAGGCCTTTGCTAAAACCTACGACAAGACAGTCTCTCTTGGGCAGCGTTTGGATCTTGTTTTTCATAACATTCGTCTTGGTCTTTTTTATCTTGACCACTCGCTTATTACAAGAAACTTAGAAAAAGCAAAGAGGTATGCTGTGTGTGTGTGTGTGTGTTTCTTTCATTCCTAATTTATTTCTTGAATGTGTACAGAGTGAAGCCTTGTTAATGTAGCCAAATCAAGACAAGTAAGTAGGGGATTAAGTTAGTGGTTCGCAACGATTCACCCTTTCAGGGTCAGCAGGCCCTCTCCTAAACTTGTTCTCAGGGTCGGAAATTTTTTGAAAAAAAAAAAAAAAAAATCTTATGAAATGATAGAGAATCTTTTCCCAATCATAATGACACCAAAAGTATGAAATTTGATGGAAAACTTACGGAATTATGCTCTCGCGAAGTTAGCGGTCTCGATGATGTTTACGCATCGGCGATTTCGCCCACTTTGAGCCCTATTTTCAGCCAATTCCAATGTACCAGTCGACAAAAATCATAAATATATCGCTAGAACTCTATTTTTCTATCAATTGAGTAAAAGAAACCACCCATTTACCAATTTCAACTATCCAATAAAGTGGTCAGAAATTGGCAATTTTGCCAATTTCACACAAATTTCAAAAGATGCCAGTTTCCAAATAGAAAGAAAACTTTCCACATCACTCATCACTGTCTTGCCAGAAGTGCTTTACACTACAGTTTAAACTGCACTTAACACCTCTCAGAGTGCAGCACTGTACTTCCCATCTCCAGGACCAAGTCCGCTGCGGTTTCCTGATCCTTCATAATAACATTTTGAAGGATTCAGGAAACCGAGCGGATTGAGTCCTGGAGATGGAAGTACAGTGCCTGCATCTGAAGGAGGGGTGTTAAGTTGCAGTTTAAAAATGTAGTGTAAAGCACCTTCTGGCAGACAGTGAGATGATGATGGGAAATTTTCTTTTTCGGCCACCTGCTGTGGAATCGGCCCTGTGATATAAAAAAAAAAAAAAAAAATAATAATAATAAAAAATTCAGAATAAACAAGACAGACATTCCTGGCACTAAAATAACATTTCCTCTGTTCATTAGTCATGTCCCCAGGCCTCTTACATTTCTTTTGCTTTCCACTTTGAATTTTTATTCTCACAAAAAAAATAGAAGATTTACTGTTATGTAGACTACTGCATTAGTGTAGAAATGGTATAAATATCAGTGCACTTGTGAATGAATATTAGACTTGCCAGTTGATGTGTATTGGACGTGTGGCATGATTTGTTTACTTTTGAACTTTGGCAAAAATCAAACATTTCTGCTACTTTGAGCTCAGTTTCAAGGTACTTTTCATTGTAAAACCAATCAAAATCATCTCAATTTCTGTAATATGTCTTCCATTCTATAAAATGAGAATAAGAAAACAAGAACACAACCATAAATAGCATATGAAAATATATACTGCAAAGTCGCTGTTTTAAAGCAAAAACACGGACGGAGTTTGTTTTTTTTTCTCATTATGCACTGTGTGCTGCAGGATTTTTTTATACTGTGCACACTGACCACATAGACCCATTCTCTCATATGTAGGCCTACTAGCTTTCTCTCGCTAGATTTGAAGGTGCTAGAATTTATGAGTACTAGTATGGCACTAACCCTGGCGTGCAAGCCGTACTAACACGGCACCAACCCTGAAAAGGTTAAGACACGTATACAGTAGTTGGGTATCTTCAGTCTTTAAATGTTTTACCTACACAATAGGCTTCTTCAGTCAAATACAGAGGCAGCAGGTGTAGTAGTGAAATGAAGATGATGTAATCAGTCCATGTGTCTTAATCATCAACTTGTTGGTATATTATACTATTTTTAACACGCTGATTCTTGTTCGATACAGTTTATAGAATACACTATACAGGAGGGCCCGGCTTTACAGTGCTTTACTCTACAGCATTTCATTAATGCAGCAGTTTTCGATTATACCCATTGTTCATTTATTCACACCTCCTGCAATAAATATATTCACCACTTGCTGTAGGCTAAGGATATGGAGGGATATGTTGTGTATCTTTATACGTATATGCTTCTAAACTGTTGTATTCTGAGCACCTCTGCAAAAACAGTGATAATGCATGAGTGTGGTGAAAGTGCTGAATGATGATGAAAGTATTTTCTTTTTGGGGATTTTCTTTCTTTTTTGGGTCACCCTGCCTCGGTGGGAGACGGCCGACTTGTTGAAAAAAAAAAAAGTAATGTGTAAACTGTATATACATGTTTTAGGCCTAGCTCTATTGCTCACTGAATATATGATATTGCAAACATATTACAAGGCTTTTATATGCATTTGAAAGTGAAAAAAGGCTATGATTCACTTTACAGTGATTTTTGCTTTACAGTAGTAGCCTGGAACCTAACCAGTAGCCCAGAACCTAACCTGCTGTATAAGCAGGGCCCTCCTATACTGTTAATATTGGTTATTAATTAAATTATTTTAGTAGATTGTTGCCAATTATATTTTGTGAAAGTCAGACGTTTCGTTAGAAGAATATGCATAGTACTATGCTGATGCAAAAGTATAGATTAACTAATTTTCAGTATTTGGAAAAGAAAAATATTTGGTTTTAAGAATAATGGATTTGGGGATTTGGACAGGAATATGTGTATATTATTATATTCATAGGGAAGCATAAAACCTGTAGGAGTCATACAGTGCCTGGGGAATGAGAGGTAATCAGGTTTGATCCAAGAGAGGGAGCTTCAGTTCAATGGATCTAGAGCCTTTTACTATCAAGGCAGTCAGTCCCCTTGAAAGTAAATGTGTATATAGCCTACATTTAAATTATTGAAGATGGTAGAAGTATGTTAATTTGCTCATTATGTAACTAAGAGAACTAATAGGCAAAATAATGAAGTTATTCACATTTCCGAATTAATTGTTTTGGCAGACTAGGTATGATTCCATAATCGTGCAGTGTAATGCTATAACTGACTATTGTACTTACTTTCTAGCCTCATTGAAGAGGGAGGTGATTGGGATCGCCGCAATCGGCTAAAAGTATATGAAGGAGTTTACTGCATGGCTGTCAGAGACTTCAAAAAGGCTGCCACTCTCTTTTTAGATACAATCAGCACATTTACTTCTTATGAATTGATGGACTACACTAGGTTAGTGTAGTGGTGATAGTATGAATGATGGTGATTGTTTTTTTTTTTCGGATCGCCCTACCTCAGTGGGAGACGGTTTTATTAAAAAAAAAAAGTAAATAATTATTGGCTTAATTATACTCAAGAATGATCATCTATATTTTGCTTAAATACTGTAATAACTATAAATTTGTCATTGCTATATACGTATCTTCTAAGCTATTTATTGCTTTTCAAGTCTAAATATTTAAATTTTTCAGATTTGTTGGTTACACTGTTTTGGTGTGCATGATAGCTCTTCCTCGTAACGATCTTAGAACTAAAGTTGTGAAGGGTTCAGAAATTCAGGAGGTACTTCACTCAGCTGAGGATCTCAAAACTTACCTTCTTTCTCTGTATGAGTGTCAATACCACACCTTTTTCCAGAAGCTATGTGAGTTTTATGCTGGCAGTTATTTAATTTTGGATAATGCTTTGATCATAAAATCAGTTAAATTTTTCATAATCTTGTGTTAGACAGATGTTATCAAAAACTAACATCAGAACTGTAGTGTTTTATTTTGTATTTAGGGTAAATTCCAGAAGTTTTCTTGGGCTATAAGATGAGTATATTTTCACTCCCAAAAATCAGATTTTTACATATACTTTGCCCCACAGGTAAGTAAATCAGCTGTTTTGTGCATCAGTAGTCAATTCAGGCAGTGTTTCCATATCCTCTTGCCTCCCTCTGCATCAGTATTAAAATATGAAGAAACCTGAGGCAGTGGTGGTTAATTGTTTATCACCTCAGGACTCTTTGGTTCTGGTTATCACTACAGTTTGTGAGGAAGAGACTCAGCCAGTGATGTTATATTGCTTAATTTAATTTTCTACTTTACAGTCTATCCTTCAATAATAATCATGACTGTAGTGTCATATGTGAACATGAATATGTATTCAGTGGTAGCTGAATACATATTGTCTATGTATAAAGGTAGAAAGTTGAAAGTGAACATAGATAAGAGTACGGTGATTTTTTTTTTTTTTTAACAAGTCGGCCGTCTCCCACCGAGGCAGGGTGACCCAAAAAAGAAAGAAAATCCCCAAAAAGAAAATACTTTCATCATCATTCAACACTTTCACCACACTCACACATTATCACTGCTTTTGCAGAGGTGCTCAGAATACAACAGTTTAGAAGCATATACGTATAAAGATACACAACATATCCCTCCAAACTGCCAATATCCCAAACCCCTCCTTTAAAGTGCAGGCATTGTACTTCCCATTTCCAGGACTCAAGTCCGACTATATGAAAATAACCGGTTTCCCTGAATCCCTTCACTAAATATTACCCTGCTCACATTCCAACAGATCTCAGGTCCCAAGTATCATTCGTCTCCATTCACTCCTATCTAACACGCTCATGCATGCTTGCTGGAAGTCCAAGCCCCTCGCCCACAAAACCTCCTTTACCCCCTCTTTCCAACCCTTTCGAGGACGACCCCTACCCCTCTTTCCTTCCCCTATAGATTTATATGCTTTCCATGTCATTCTACTTTGATCCATTCTCTCTAAATGACCAAACCACCTCAACAACCCCTCTTCTGCCCTCTGACTAATGCTTTTATATATATATGCTTCTAAACTGTTGTATCAGGGTGTCTCTGCAAAGACAATGATTGTGTGTGAGTGAGGTGAAAGTGTTGAATGATGATGAAAGTCTTTTCTTTTTGGGGATTTTCTTTTTTGGGTCACCGTGCCTTGGTGGGAGACGGCTGACTTGTTGAAAAAAAAAATGTTCTTATATGGTTAATTAAAATTTACAAAAGATTTCTTCCTGAAAGAAAAGTTTTATATTTGGGAAATTCATTGAGCATATTTTGAACCAGCTCTTATGGCTTGTGTGACAGACCAATAATAAAAAAAAAGTCTGCATTTCTTGACCACTTTTACCAAATAAATTGATTTTACTGCACATAGATTGAAAACCTATATACTAAAGAATTAATACATTTGATAGAAAAATGCTAGGAAATTTTGACAAAATTATATCACTGAACCCATCCCATAAGAGGAAACTGACCATATTTCTTAAAGTAGTTTGAACTGTGTTCATATTTTTCACTAGAAGGGTGAACCAGAAAAATTTCCATTTGGGGTGAGGAAAAGAATTTTTAAAAAAATCTCATGGTTGGTCAACTGACATCAGTGTATATCATAATAAGCTTGTACCTTTTTATATTTTGTACTTTTATGAAGAGGTTGAAGGGAGGGAGCAAAGGAGGTTTTGTGTGCAAGGGGCTTGGACATCCAGCGGGCATGTGAGAACATGTTAGATAGGAGTGAGTGGAGGAAAGTGGATTTTGGGACTTGAGTTGGAGTGTGAGCAAGGTAACATTTTGTGAAGGAATTCAGGAAAACTGGTTAGCTGGACTTGAGTCCTGGAAATGGAGGGTACAGTGCCAGCACTCTAAAGGAGGGATGAGGATATTTGTAGTTTGGGGGACAACATCTGAACTGTGGTACTGGCACACCTCCAGCAGGACATTGATGGAGTGAATGATGGTAAAAGTATTTTGTTTTTTGGGTCACCCTGCCTTAGTGGGAGATGGCCAGTGTTAAAAAAGAATGTGTACACTTTGTAAAAATGGCTAACTTATGGTCAGTAGTGTAATATATGGTACAATAAGCAAGGCTCTTTCCAAAGACATGTTTCATTTGGTTGTATCACACTTAATCAGTTTTTAATTTCCAGCATGGGTTGAAGGCGAGTTACGTCATGACCGACTACTAGCACCACACTATAGGTATTATGTGAGAGAGATGAGAATTCTGGCTTATACACAGCTACTAGAGTCCTATCGATCTCTCACACTTCATTATATGGCTGCAGCATTTGGAGTTTCCACTGAATTCATTGACAGGTTAGTTCTTGTAGTGCTACATATTTTTTTTTTTTAACACATCGGCCGTCTCCCACTGAGGCAGGGTGACCCAAAAAGAAAGAAAAATATTTTCATCATCATTCAACATTTTCACCATCACTCACACATAATCACTGTCTTTGCAGAGGCGCTCAGGTACGACAGTTTAGACGTCCCTCCAAACTGCCAATATCCCAAACACCACCTTTAAAGTGCTGGCATTGTACTTCCCATTTCCAGGACTCGAGTCCGGTTAACTGGTTTCCCTGAATCCCGTCACAAAATATCACCCTGCTCACACTCCAACATCTCGTCAAGTCCCAAACACCATTCACTCCTATCTAACATGCTCACTGCATGTTCAAGCCTCTTGCACACAAAACCCCTTTTATCCCCTCTCTCCATCTTTTTCTAGTATGACCCCTACCACTCCTCCCCTCCAGTACAGATGTATACACCCTCCAAGTCATCCTATTTTGCTCCAGCCTCTCTAAATGACCAAACCATCTTAACAACCCCTCTTCATCCCTCTGACTAATACTTTTAGTAACTCCGCACCTCCTAATTTCCACACTACGAATTCTCTGCATAATATTTACACCACACATTGCCCTTAAACACGTTATGTCCACTGCCTCCAGCCTCTTTCTTGCTGCAGCATTTCCAACCCATGCTTCACACCCATATAAGAGTGTTGGTACCACTATACTCTCTTACATTCTCTTCTTTGCCTCCATGGATAATGTTTTTTGTCTCCACAGATACCTCAATGCACCACTCGCCTTTTTTTCTTCATCAATTCTATGGTTAACCTCGTCCTTCATAAGCCCATCTGCTGACAAATCTACTCCCAAATATCTGAACTTCGTCCATACTCCTTCCCTGCAATGTGATATCCAGTTTTTCTTTACCTAACTTGTTTGATACCCCTCATCACCTTATGGTTATCTATGTTTACTTTCAACTTTCTTGTTTTACACACCCTCCCAAACTCGTCCACCAGCCCTTGCAACTTCTCTTTAGAATCTCCCAAAAGCACAGTATCATCAGCAAAATGTAACTGTGTCAACTCCCATTTTGTATTTGATTCCCCATACTTTAATTCCTCTCCCCAACACTAGCTTTTACTTCTTTTACAACTCCATCTATAAATATGTTAAACAACCATGGTGACATTGCACATTCCTGTCTAATGCCTACTTTACTGGAGAGTAATCTCCCTCTCTCCTACACACCCTAATGTGAGACTCGCCTATACTCATAAGAACTCTTTACAACATTTAGTAACTTGCTACCTATTCCATACAATTGCAACATCTGCCACATTGCTTCCCTATCCACCCTATCATAAGCCTTTTCTAAATCCATAAATGCAGTGAAAACTTCCCTACCTTTATCTAAATATATTTCACTTGTATGCTTCAATGTAAACACTTGATCTACACATCCCTTACCCAATCTACAGCCACCTTGTTCATCTGCAATCCTTCTCTCTGTCTTACCTCTAATTCTTTCAATAATAATACTACCATACACTTTACCTGGTATACTCAGTAAACTTGTTACCCTATAATTTTTACAATCTCTCTTGACCCCCTTAACTTTATATAAAAGAACTATACAAAGGGTGATCACTTTTGTGAATATAATAGGAATAATACATAAGTAGAATGCCTGCACTTTAAAGGAGGTTTGGGATATTGGCTGTTTTGAGTAACATCTAAACTGTCATATCTGGGCACTTCTGCAAAGACAGTGATTATGTGAAAGATGATGACAGTGTTTCTTTTGCTTTTGGGTCTGCCTTGGTAGGAGACAGCCAACATGTTAAAAAAATACAGAAATATTTTTTTTTCAACAAACCGGCCATATCCCACCGAGGTAGGGTGGCCCAAAAGGAAAAATGAAAGTTTCTCCTTTTAAATTTAGTAATATATAGCGGTACCTTGACTTACGAGTGCCCCAACTTATGAGTTTTCCAAGTTATGAGCCATTGCTCGGTAGATTTTTTGCTTTGAGTTGCGAGCCAAAATCCGAGTTACGAGCGAGCTTTAGATACGCCACCTCTAGTTGGCACAGCAAATGCCACAACATCCGCCCAGCATCCCGCGTCTCGCTCGTTCAGTGCACGTGGTCACCTCGCCGTGGAAGCATCTTCCTTGTGTTGTGTTTGCGTTTTGTGCTTTTTGTACAGTTATTTTGCCAAATTTCTTTTTTCTAACCATAGGTCCTAAGAAAGTAAGTGGAAAGGACAGTGCTGAGAAGAAGAGGATGATGTCCATTGAATTAAAGCATGAAATCATAGAAAAATACGAGTGAGGGGTGTGTGTGTGTGTGTGTGTGTGTGTGTGTGTGTGTGTGTGTGTGTGTAGTCAACTTGGCGAGGCAGTACGAGCTTAGTACTCCTATGATATGTACCATACTACGATATGTACCATACACCCAGAAAAAGTTGCAACTGGTCGTGCGTCAGCGCTATTTAACCCTTTGACTGTTTCCGACGTATAAATACGTCTTACGAGCCAATGTTTCTGACGTATTTATACGCATAAATTCTAGCAGCTTCAAATCAAGCAGGAGAAAGCTGCTAGGCCCACATGTGAGAGAATGGGTCTCCATGGTCAGTGTGCACCATATAAAAAAAATCAGGGAGCCAGTGGTGCATTGTGGGAATGCCATTTCAGTTGTCAATTTTTCAGCATGTCTAGTGGTAAGAAATATGTGATTCCCAGCAAATCTGGGACCTCTCTCTTCCCAAGTGATGCTCTAACACAGATGGAAGTGTCAGTGAAGATCAATTTCATGATTTGGAGGAGTTTGAGACCAAAAGCAATGGAGGAGGAGGAGGGGGAGGAGGGGAGGAAGAGGAGGGAGGAGGAGGGGAGGAAGAGGAGGAGGTAGGATGGAGGAGGAGGGAAGGAAGAGGAGGAGGAGGAGGAGGAGGAGAGAAGAGGAGAGAGGAGGAAGAAGAAGATGTAATAATATTGTTCCCTTGAAGCAAGAAAAAAAAAAGTCCACCCCATGACAGTGACAAAGATAAGGGGAGATAACACTGATAAGAGCTGACTTTGATGAGCGTAAAGGAGGGTAATATTACA